CACACACACACACACAAACACACACACACACACACACGCACACACACACACACACACATGCATTGCTCCGCTCGGCATGCACAGGGATCAGATAGGTTCAACCAAATTCCAACAACTGAAAGACAATAAGAAAAACAAAAGCTTAAAACACACAGCCGACTGCTACAATAAAACATTGTTTATTGATTTTATGGTTAAATTAATGTCACAATTTTAATCCTTTTTCTCATCCTCAAGTTTTGTTTGATTACTCAAATGTTTAAACAGGGATTTTCCTTCTCTGAGGTTTTAATCTCCTGGCATTGATGCTCAGAAATCCAGATTTTTTTTCCAAACTATTATTTAATGTCTTACAATGTATTTTTTTACAGCTTTGTCTGATTGGATAAAATTTGATAAAATCACCACACAGGATATTTCCAAAAGACAAACAGCATCAATCCAACTCATAGTTTCATTTTTTTTCGCAGATTAAGGGTTAAAAAAATAAAAAGTACACCCTGTTACACACTGGAGTTCACATAGTTTTTATAGAGCAAAAATCTTTTACATCCTTAAAATTCAATGAGCCGTTTTGCATTGAATTCAATTAAATAAAACTTGTTTAGAATATCGACTGTCATTTTTAGAGGAAAATCATTTTATTTCTATTTTTAGGTTTTAAAATAAAGAAAAACATAAAGCTTTGCAAAAAGAGGATGGATACATTTGATCATATTTTGTACGAAATTATGTAAACAAAACAAACAAATCGATGTACGTTTGAGAACATTACTGATACTTTTGTGGAAATGCAATGCTATTATTCTGTGAAAAATTTTAAACTGAAAAACTGCTTAAACCTGCATTTATTCTAATAACTATATTTAAAATCATTAGTTGGTTCTTTTGTAATTATTATCCAAAGTTATTGAGAGATTTCCATTGTGTAAAGTCAAAAAGCCGCTTTCTGCTCCAGAGCCACATGTAGCCAAACTAAGTACACCCCAGCAACCAATAAAAATCCAATATCAGGATATTTATTCATAAATATTTTGTTTTTTTGCTTTTTAAAGCAAACAGTTTAAGATATTTATTATTCTCTTTGATTTATTATCTTATTTAAATTCTAGTTTAACAGTTTTAGCATCTTTTTGTTGTAGCGTTTTAACTGCTAGATAAAATTATTACTTCAGTTTATTTAATATAAACCACGGAGCCACGGAGAGCAATGGTCAGTGTCCAGCTCGTCTCGACTGTTGTAATTAATGTTTGCCTGCATTGGTCTTTCGTTACTGTGAGTGTTTGTAAGATTTTTCATAGCCGACAGGACTTTTGAGTCCTGTCATGTTTGTAACAATATCAGATGTCAATGTTTGATATTTATGTTTTTATAGGTCTCTATTTATGGTTTTAAATGCTTTTATAAACCCGCAAAGCTTTTTATGTTACATTTGACTGTATGAAAAGAGCTTTACTGATAAAGTTTGATTCAAACATTCAGTCTGAAAATGACATTTCTTTGATTCTGATTGGTGAAGTGATCCGTTTTTCCTCATCCTTTCTAAACGAGGCTTGATTAAAGGGTCCATGAACAGATGAGCTGTAACTTGGTTCTGGTAACAGAGCCAAACCCAACTAAATGGGTTGGAAAACCAGTTGGATTTGCTTATTGACGTGCTCACTGAGCAAGCTAACCCCTGTTAGCGATTCAGCTAACAACAGTTCCTTTGCATTTTGTGGTTTAAAGTTGTGCACTTACCTGTTTATGTAAAAGAGGAGGATATAAGGAAAGATTTAATGAGATTCAACTCATCAGATGTGCAAATTTAATGTGTTTTACAGAAGCTACCGTTAACTTTTGGATGCAAGGCAGCCATCTTGGATTCAGTGGATGAGATTGGTGAGAAACTTTTGATTTGTTCACATGTAAATTCAACTTTTACTTATTTAAACTTGATTTTTTTTATTTCTCAGTAAAAAAACTATCTGCAGGCTTCAGCAAATCAAACATTGCAGTGGACAAGAACAAATTTTGTCATTTTTTTTTCATGTCCTGTTTGAAAATCTCTGTCGTTTATAGTTAAAAAATGTTGGAGAACCACTGGTTTAGATTATTTTACATTTTTCACTTTATTACCAGAGACTGGAGCCAAATCATTGTAGTTTTGATCATTTCATTAAATGTCTTGTGGAGAATATTTTGCATCATTTGTACTCCATAGAGCGACATTTCATACCCAATTTCACACTGAAATATGTAATCCAGTCTTCTTTACGCTACTTGGAAAAGTTTTTCATGTGACTCCAATACAAATCGAACAACAGAAGCTTAGAGATGTTTTGATCTGGATTTTTATTCTGATTCATAAAATTCAACTGGTTTAAATGGGAGAAACTGACAATTTCATTAAATTATGAGATTTCACTAATTTTGTGACAATTTATCTTTATAATTAATGAATATGCTGATACAGTTTAAGTGGATGGATATTTAACTACAGATGGGAAATGGAGGAAGAGGAAGATGAAATGGGAAGGTAGAAATACAAAATGTGGTTACAAACTGGGAAAAATGGGAAGAAACTGGGATGAGAATCGACAACATGGACGAACAAATTCATCCCAAATGTTTTCCTGAGGCAACGCTACTGCTTGATTTAATAATTAATGATTATAGCAGTGATAATTGTAGTTGAGATTTTTTTTAATCACATTTTTCCTGGATTTACCCGTACATAGAGCAGGGGCGTCCAAAGAGCGGCCATTCGTGGCCTTTGTGTTATTTTTGTGTGGCCACAACTCAAGAATGGCACGTTTGTCCCTCTGACACTTTTTGCAATTTTTTTAGAATAAGAAATGGGGAAAAAAAAAAATATTATCATTTTATTTTGATCTCATAATAAGTCTAACTAAAGCAAAGTTTGTAGAAGAAAAATCTTATTTTCATTGCTGGGAATAAACTAAAAACCTTTTATAGATTTTAAAAATGTAAAGTAATAAACCCAAACAGTTAAATGACTTTAGACGTTAATATTACCTTTTTTTTTGTTCTCCAGGTAAAAGAGAAATAATTTACAATATTTTTTTATGACTGTGACATAAGTGTAAGTGTTGAAAGTTTCCTAGTGCATATTTTAGATGTTTTCTTAGTTCTGCACACCTGAAATGATAAATCCTGCAGAACCTGACGACACGCAGAGGAAATTCAGCATTTGAATCAACAAATGCATCAGAAAGAACTGAAACATTACACTCAGGTAGCAGCAGAACTACTTCAACATGTTTTTACTCAAGGATAAGTAAAAAGTAGTCTCCAAGGAATGACTCAGGTATTTTGTAAAATGTTTACTCAAGTACTGAGTAACTGATCAAAACATATTTAATATTTAATTAATATTTAAAAATTAAATCATCAGATGAACCAAAATGTAAAGTTAAGTGGAAATTTTGGTATGATTAGGACAAAAATGACAATAATTTATATGAGTACAAAAAATAACAACATCTATTTTTTTTTTTCAATAAAAAACTTTTGAAACTTTAACAAAAACTGCAGGTGTGTGTTTGGTGAATTTCTGGTTAAAACATGTTTGTTTTTCATTCAGTGGGTAGAAAATCCAGACGTTTTACTCAAGTAAGAGAAAAGATACTTCATAATAAAATGAGTCAAAGAACAATGTAGTGAAAATAGTCCTAAAATTAATTTCTTTCACACTGAAGTAAATGTAACTGGTTATTACCCAATAGGTTCCAATAGTTTGACTCCTCTGATCGAAGGCCTTGAACTTCTGGCTCACATTTTGTTGCTGCTTCTCATTTTTATTGATTCATTTCTGCCATCCTCCTTAGAGAGGCAGCCAAGGATAACTAAGATAGTAACTAAAATAAAAATAGGATTTTTTTCAAAACTTCATTTTATCTTTTGGGATTAAATGATCAACTTTCTTTGATTGTATTTCCTTAAATTAGCATCACATTTGACTGAATTTAGTTAATTTGAGGAGAAATGGAATTCATATGAAGTGAAGTTAGACATAAATAGATGATGTTTAGGTGAAATGTCTTGTATTTTGGTGTTTTATAACCAGAACTGAACTGTTCTGATCACATCTGGCCTCACTCCACTGCCTGCCTGTGCATTTTAGAGTTTATTTCATTTTCACTTTTAAATATCTAAATGATCTTTCTCCACCAAATCTCTGAGCTTCTTCAATCTTACGTACCTTTTTTGGACCCTCAGGTCACGACTTGACCTAGTTTGTTTCATGTTTAACTCTTGGTCTTTTTGTGTAATATTTGTATGTTTGTAGCTTAAAACAGCTGTGGCTGTTTTAAAGTGTTTTATAAATATATTTTTTAAAAAGTCATTAGCCTCCAACAGCAGGGAAAGTTTCCTTTCAATCAATTAAACACAAAATAACCCCAAAAGCATTACGTGGAAAAGCATCCCAAATGAACCGATGGAAGTATTGCACAATGTTTACTTGTAGCCAAGCAAGAAACTTTTAATCAAGTATTGCAATTCCTTTGCTTAAGTGGAGTGTCTGCACGCATCTTCCACCACTGTTCTTTTTACCTTTGAACTTGTCATGTCCTTTCTTTTCTCCAAGGCGCATCTCGCAGGAAAGTAACAGAGAAGGGGGGAGCGGAGGGGGCAGCAGAGAAAGAATAGCAGAGTATGAAAGAGAGAGGGAGCGACAGAGAGAAAGGGAGCGCAAAGTCTTGTCAACCGGAAATAAAACAAGCTGGCACCCTCCCCATCCCCAAGCCCCTACTCCCACCCCAAAGTCATATACTTCCTCCTCACTCTCTTTTTCCTCCCCTCTGCCTCTCCCGCCTCCATCTTCCATCTCTCCCTTCCGCTGCATGGGGATATATTTAAACCCGGCTTCTGCTCGGCTCGGTGCTGTACACACCGTCATACCTGCGTCACCGCATAAACCTCACGTCGGGCCGTGTGTGTCCGTCGGCAGGCTGGAGTTCCTGGACGGATCCTTTAAGCTGCTCCGAAAGGCCCTGATGGAGCCTTTTGTTTGCTGTTTGGAACAAAAAGTGTTTGTGGAGAATCAGGAGTGTTGCTGCGTCTTCACAAGCTGCTGAGTCCAGTTGGACAAAAGACTCTAAAAAAGCAGAACAGGTTTACAAATCCAACAACGCATCACGTCTCCTTTCTCTGATGTTTCAAAACAAACATATGTGATCGGATAAAAAGTTTATTGTCCCTCCAGGTGGTTATTTACATGACATAAAGAAGAAAACAATAATAAAAATACACCAAAATATTCATATTGCACATAGAACAATTGCACAGCTGTGACCAGTGTCTGTTATTTTATTGTTTATATTTATATGTTTGAGTAAAATGAACATTGTTCTTTTATTCTATGAAC